AAGGAAGGAAGGAAGGAAGGAAGGAAGGAAGGAAGGAAGGAAGGAAGGAAGGAAGAAAGAAAGAAAGAAAGAAAGAAAAAGAAAGAAGAGAAATAAATAAATAAATAAAAAGAAAAGAAAATAAAGAACGGAAGCGCATGCCGGAGATTTGGGTGGTGGGGATGGTGGGGGGAGAATGGAGTGATGGGGAAGAGTGAGGAGAGTGGAGAAGGAAAGTTGGGTGATTATGAAAGGGTCTTTCCTCGAAGCCCTGCCATCCTTCCGGAAACACAAATAATGGTGATGGTGGTAAGGACGGTGGTGATGAAGGCTACGTTGATTATTTGTGCCCGAGCATGTGTCTACAGAGAGAAGGAAAAAAGGGGGCGCGTACATGTCCCGAACTCCCACGGTCACCAAAGGTTCCTCTCGCAGGTCCCGCGCGTTCAAGCCCCGCCTTGGGTGAAGAAAATTCCCCTTCGACTCCCTGTCCCAGCTTTGCAAATAATTTCAGGATTTATTTAATTTCCCCCCCCCTCCCCGCTGAAGAAATATTCTGACCTCCACATTAAGATTCCAGTACCTGAAATCTCCAACGGAGGGCTTTAAAACAGAACTTGGATAAATCTGGATGCGTATCTCATCTGCGAGAAGCGAGGTCGGTAATGACACCAGTTTCTTAGGCTCGGGGCTGTTTCGGCCTGATAAGCATTATCTGTAGCCTATCAAGGGGCCCTTTCCCCTCTGGAGTACATCACAAAGGCGGACAGAAATGCCAGCAAAATAGGGGATTTCTTCGCTCCGCCACCGCTATTGCTTTCTGCCTTTTTTAATTTCTTTCTTTTCTTTTTAATTTTATAACCCACCTACTGTATTATTTTCTCCATCGAAATCTCCCCCCCCCCGCCTTCTCCTTCTCCGCCTTCCTGTTGTATGTTGCCGCCGCTGCAAACTTTTCTTACTCCTTACTATGAATATAATGTATTTGGGGGTGTTTCTCCCCTTCCCCCTGGGCTCCCTGGTTTTTATACGGTCCTTGCCATCGAGGGGCAGATACACAACCCTTAAAATGAGACTTGGATAGTGAACGCCTCATCCCCAGTATGGAAACACCGAGGTCGGTGGGACTTTCCTTCCGAGAACGGAGAGTGTAGTTAAGAAAGATTTGAGGTATTTAACCATCTAAGGAACTGCGCCGCTTCTCCCCGGACCTCAAGGTTAAGGGCGAGGAGAATTGGCCAACTCGCTCGCCATCTACCCTCCTCCACAGGGTTGTTGTTTGGGTAAGAAAGTGCCACGAGGTGAGCTTTCGC